GTATGAAGGCTATTGCTTAACACATTGTAAGCCGCCCTGAGTCTCCGGAGAAGGGCGGCATATAAATCAAATTAAAATAAATAAATAAATAAATAAATAAATAAATAAATAAATAAATAAATAAATAAATAAACAAATAATAATAAAATATTCTCCTTTATGGGCACAGACCCCCTCCTCGGCTTGAGAACTGGAGGTGACAGAAGAAAAACCAAATGGAGAAGTTTCTTCATTGGGGCCCCTAACCATTCAGGCCCTGGCAGATGAGGATGCCCATCTCAAGTGCCGCTTTGGGTACCATCCTAATTCAAGCAAACCACTTTTACTCCATTCGGTGTCATTAATCCAGGTTTGGGCTGTGTGGCTCTAAGGCTTTGGTCTGAGCATTCCTGCCCCCTTCTGCTGCTTTTTTGGGGGGTGACCCAACGATGGAGAAAGCCATGCCATCCACATCCTCTTGCCACCCGCTTTTCCTAAGTTTCTAGGAATGTGAGTCCCGAACAAACCCTCCGAAAGGGGAGGAGGAAACGTACGCCGAGTTTGTTTACACGCAGAGGCCCAGTTTCCGAGTTCTTCCCGGCCAGGGGCAATGGAAAGCACATGTCTCGCCCATGTGCTGATTACCAAGTCTGGTTCTGCAGCGTTGGGGGGGGGGGTTCTTGTCCATGTGTGTTTGTGTCACGGAAGGGACCTGCGTTTCCCCTCTGCTCCATGTGTTTGGGGTGGGTGAAGCGTGCACATCCCTAAGCTTATGACAAGAGGTGGCAGGGGCTTTATCCCTTGCTGCTTAGAGGGATTTATGTTTGACTCTCTCCGCTGCTGATTCAACCCCATGACAGCTTGTCCAGTGCGCTTGAAAAGATCCCCCCTGGGCCTGAGTGTTCACAGCGAGGCGCATGGCAAGTGGCCACCGAGAGCAGAAGAGCACATCTCCAAGCATAATTAGCCGCTCCGATTAACAGATTCCTTCTTCAGGAGGGGCTACAAGGACCCCCATCCTCCCCCCGCCCCGTATGGGATTAGCCAAGGATCAGGGCATCTGATTGAGAAGGAACTTTCTCCAAATAGAAATGGGGGTGGTTGGAAAGAAAGAGGTTCATCAGGTTAATTCATCAGGGGATTAGGAAAGAATCAGTGGATGGATTCAATCAGTGGATGGATTCAATCAGTGGATTTTCAATCAGTGGATAGATTCAATCAGTGTGTCAGCATTTCAAGCTGCAGTTACTCTAGTGCTGACATAAGAAGGAGAAAAGGAGGCGTCTGGAAAAGGACGTTTGACTTTTCACCTACTTATTTTCCCTGGAGATAATATCCCCTAGGAGATGGGATGGGAGGGGGGAAATTCCATTGAGCTGGAGCGGTAGATTAGGGGTAGAATGACTTGGAAAATGGCCAATGAGTGCAGGGGAGTGGGGAATGGAAAGGGAGGGTTTTGGGGCTGGAAGTCAGTGTTGGCTTCGATGGAGTTGGGTTTTAGAATGCCGTGCTTAATAAATAGAAGTTTTTCTTCAAAGACTTTGTTTGAAATGCAATTTATTTGAGACGACCTCGAAACTTGACACAGTGGATTGATTCAATCAGTGGATGGATTCAATCAGTGAATTTTCAATCAGTGGATTCTCTGAAGATGTTTTGCTTCTCATCCAAGAAGCTTCTTCAGCTCTTGGCCTAGCTAAGCGTCTATGGAGCTTCTCAGTCATCCATGGTTGTCCCAAAAAGGTGCTTTTTCAAGAGGCAGCTGAACTTTCTGTGTTTTTCTTTGAAGACCTTTCGCTTCTCACTGAGCTGAAGAAGCTCCTTGGATGAGAAGCAAAACATCTTCAAAGAAAAACCAGGAAGTCCAGTTGCCTCTTGAAAAAAACACCTTTGGGACAAGGAGACAAAATATAAACAATTACTGTGGAGTATATTACCAAGGGCCAAGGAGAGCCTTAGAAGAGACGACAAACCATAATGTCAGCCACAACCTGTGTATGCAAAGCTCCATCTTTGTTTACTATAGGTGTGTTGCAATTGCACAATCAGAACTGCCATTTTGGTGGGATTTTTTTTTTAAAAAAAACTTTCCTCTCTGCAGACCCCTCTCCCAAAATAAAGTCTCCAGTTCTGGCCTTTTGAAGGACACTAAATGTGGAGGATCTGGAGCAGTGTCAAGCTTCCAAGGTTGAGAAACACTGATCTGGAGGGTACTTGATGGAGTGTGAGAGAAGTGAAGAAATATTAGCGCTGAACTGTGCTAAAATTCTTATGAAGTCCTTATTTGGATGAAAATCAGGCCGATTCAGCGAAACGACATCCTGTTCAAAAGGAATCGCCATTTCTTAAGCACGCCAATTCTAACTGTTGATCTGAAAAGGAGTTTCCTGTTGTTAGAGGTGCAAACCGCAAGTGTTTTGTGTGCCAGGTTGCGCTTCAGTTTTATAGATGTTTATCTCTTTGGGGTTCATGAAACCCCAAGATCATGAAAAAAAAACCAAGCAGGTAGAAATGGATTCCTCCCCATCGCTGTTATTAAAATTATAGACTGGAAGGCAGCTAGAAGGATGAAAGGTATTGAAAGACAAGATCCTCTAGAATAGAATAGAATAGAATAGAATAGAGTAGAGTAGAGTAGAGTAGAGTAGAGTAGAGTAGAGTAGAGTAGAGTAGAGTAGAATAGAATAGAGTAGAGTAGAGTAGAGTAGAATAGAATAGAATAGAATAGAATAGAATAGAATAGAATAGAATTTTTATTGGCCAAGTATGATTGACACTCTAGACACCAAAGCACTTGAAGGCAGGAGAAGAAGCAATAGGTGGAAACTAATTTGTACCCTATGTGTACCCTATGACTATCATTAAGTGTTGTACCTTATGATTCTTGATGAATATATATTTTCTTTTATGTACACTGAGAACATATGCACCAAGACAAATTCCTTGTGTGTCCAATCACACTTGGCCAATAAAGAATTCTATTCTATTCTATTCTATTCTATTCTATTCTATTCTATTCTATTCTATTCTATTCTATTCTATTCTATTCTATTCTATTCTAATCAAGGAGAGAAGCAACCTAGAACTAAGGAGAAATTTCCTGACAGTTAGAACAATTAATCAGTGGCACAACTTGCCACCTGAAGTTGTGAATGCTCCAACACTGGAAGTTTTTAAGAAGAGATTAGATAAGAGATCCATTTGTCTGGAACGTTAGCAGGGGGTTGGACTAGAAGACCTCCAAGGTCCCTTCCAGCTCTCTTATTCTGTTCTCTTAAGATGTGATACCTTTCCCTTTTCTATTTTTCAACGAGGCTTGAATTTTGCCATGATTGGATATTGTCTTCTGTTATCAAAAGCAGCGTTCGCATTATTCACATGCGAAAAATAGGAGGGTGTTTTTGAAGCCATTTGCTCACTCGCCATAGCAATGTCTACCATGCTACATTCTTTTCTTACATTAGGAGCTTAGCTGCTCCTAATGGGCATTATCCATTCAAACCAGAAGCTTTGTAGTTGAGCTCTTCCTATGCTCTTTTCATCTGTTCTAAATGTTTTCTTATTCCCCCCCCCCATTGTGATTTCTAGAGAATCCATTTCCCTCCTTCCCCTTCCCTTCCCTCCTTCCTTTCTCCTATCTCCTTCTTGTTGCTTTTCTTCTCTTTTCCTCCCTCTTCCTCTCATTCCCATATTCTTCCTTCCACCCTCCTTCCCTCCTTGCCTCTCATTCCCATATCCATCCTCCCTCCCTCCCTCTTCCTCTCATTCCCATATCCTTCCTTCCTCCCTGCCTTTCATTCCCATATCCTCCCTCCCTCCCTCCCTCCCTCCCTCCCTGCTTCTCATTCCCATATCCTTCCTTCCTCCCTCCCTTTTGCCTCTCATTCCCATATCCCTCCTCCCTCCCTCCTTCCCTCTTGCCTCTCATTCCCATATCCTTCCTTCCTCCCCCCCCCCACCTTATGCCAGAACTTAAAAACCTCTAATGTCCCAGCCATTATTACCAAGGTCTAAAATAGCCTTGCAATCACAAACTTGCTAATGCTATGGTGTTTGATTTTAATTGCTCTACAAGTCACTTTTGGGAGTGAAATTCCAGTGAAAAGCAGGAGGGTAAATAAAGAACCGGATCCAGTGAGACTTGGTTTTGATGGGTGGGCGTTGTTTGCATTGGCTGTGCATCTCAAACTATCAACTACACTTTGCCCAACCAAGTTGTGCAAACTCAGCTGTGAGGTTAGTTGATGGCCCTGTCCAGAAATGTTGGATTGGGTAAACATGCAGTTCAAACGCAACTGTCAAATGGAAGCTTATACCTCATTAAACCAGTCTTTAAGATGCCAGAAAACTCTTTATGTGGGCTCAAGAAATTTAGTAACTCTTGCAGATAAATATAAAGATTCTTTGATAGGCAAAGAACAAAAGAAAGGAAAAGCACGCCAGTCCCAAGAGGTAAAAATTCATCTTTTTGACCTACTTTTCCAGAAAAGTCAGCTGAAGTTCAGCTGCCTGTGTGGCATGATCAAATGATAGCTTGGTTTCACAAGCGCTTAACCTCACTGCTTCCCACTTTCCTGTCCATCACATCTGCATTTGCGTGCTTACAACTGTCTTCTTCGCCCGGAGTCCCTTCGGATGCGTTGGGCACAAATCCCCCTAACTCTGAGCCAAGGGAATGATAGGATTTGCCATCCGGCCCATCCCGTGCCTGCCAGGCTGAGCAAAGCCGGTGAAAACACCGGGATTCCTCCTCCAACTCTTCCTCCCAACGGATGAATTCAGACGCTGCCTCCCAAAGTAGCTGTTTCAGCAAGAAATTTATCTCTTTTTTTCTCTTTTAAAGGTGAACCCCGATCGAGGCTACCTTCTTGCATCATGGCACCGCACGTCCCTTTTCTTTAAATAAATAAATAAATAAATAAATAAAAAATTAAAAGTAAAGAGGAAGGTGGGGCCGGGAAGCCAGAAAGGGAGGGCTCAGGGGGCGGAGCAAACTTGTCACGCTTGGAGAGTCGAGGTTAGACCAACTTAAGAGGGTTGGGGCTCCGAAGGACTGCCCTCCGCGGCGGGAGGAGAGTCTTTCTCCCGGATCAGCCCCGTCGGCACATCGGCTCTCAAACGCCCATCGACGGCAGTCGCTGTCCGAGCGCCGTGGTGCTGAAACGAGAGCTCCGAGTCCGCGAGGCTGCCAGTTCGGTGCGCGCTTCTTCGGAGCTGTCCGCGGACACCAGGTGCTGAACTTCTTCCCCTTGGCCTTGGTCTACTCTTCCCCCCCCCCCGCCGGAGTTCTGTTGAGCCTCGATGGGAAACAACGAGGGGAACCCTTCTTCAACAAGAGACGAGATGCTCATCTAAGAAGCCAGCCTACTCCACGACCCACCTGAGCGTCTTCCCGCCATCTCCAGTTGGGTGCTAACTCCGCTCCCGTATCTGCTGCCGCCGCCGCCGCCGCTCTCTGTTCTGCCTAACCATGGCTTTCATGGTGAAGTCAATGGTTGGTGGGCAACTGAAGAATCTCACCGGTGGCTTGGGGGGAGAAGACAAAGGAGAAGGGGACAAATCTCCAGCGGAAGCCCAAGGAATGACGAAGGAAGAATATGAAGAGTATCAGAAGCAGCTGGTGGAAGAAAAGTAAGTGTGTGGTATTGCATGAGAGAGCGTATAAATTTAATAAATGCTGGAAGGGAGAACTCTTCTCCACTTCTTCCTTCTTCTCTGATTCTTAGCATGTGTTATGATAAATACAGCTCTTGTGATGTGTCATCAGGCTAGACATCTTTCCCCCAATTTGCTGCTCTCCAGGTGTTCTGACTTACGGTGTCATCATATGGCTGGCTGAGAATGATGACATCATAGCTCAGAACACCTGACTGGCCATCCTGATGTCATTTAGCAATTCAGCACATCAGGAGGCTATCTGGAGGAATGTTCCCATGTTATATATCTGAGACAGAAAGGAGGGCATCCTTGGGGGAAAAAAAACTTGATGACTTGATGAAGTTTCCTCATTATTTTTTTGCCCAATACTCCAGATACTCACTTGCTGTGTAGTCCTCTTTCAGTTCAATTCATCTTCTTGCAATTCAAAAATAATACAGTAAAACGGATTTTCATCGTTGCAATTAAGAGTAGAGTCTGCATTAACCATAGTCAGTTGTACAATAGTAAACATCAGAAATGTATCTTGCATGCTGAGGAACAATAATAGTGTTGCATAATATCAACTGCTCAAAACTATACTTTGCTGCTGCTACCTTTCCTGTGATAGAGGATGAGCATTGAGTTCCAATACATCTCACAGGGATAGTCTAGAAAAGTTCAGTTGTTGGTTGACGACTGCATGGTAGCATCAGCATTATTGGATGAGAGTCCACTTCATTAATTGAAGTAGACATGTCTTGTCACTATTAGTCTTCTGAATGCTTCCTTCACAGGCCTATGCTTCAGCAAACCCTTCACTCATTTTTAATCAGAATAATCAAATAAGATGTGCTGAGTTCACTTTAAATTAATATGAACTATAGATCCTTGTATAACAGCTCTGATTCAGCCTTCTGTCAGGTGGTTCAGGCACATGACATTTTCTAGGACATACTAGGAAAGGAACCAGATACCCTGTCTGAACATGGATGTGGCTGTTGGCTCAAGTCTAACATGACTTATTGGTTTAGAGCGATGGACTCAATGGGAAGATGAGTACATGCGCAGAGAGTGAAGATTTCTGATATTCTAGTCTGAACAAAATCTTGAACTTGTTCATCCAATCAGAAATTCTGATGCCGAGATCCATACCTTCAACGCTAAATAAAACGAGTAGGAATTCCAGAGGAAAAAAGAAGAAGAAGAAGCTACTTGGAAGCTCCAGATCAAGATGGTTTTAGATGGATTCTAGCTAAACATCGGAAGGGGCTGAGCTTACCATAAAAATAGAGCAAATTTGTGAGCTAAATTAAAAATAGCTCTCAGGAATATCTGCGCAGAAATAAATCCTTGGCGCTAAGCAGTTTTTATGCAAAGTTCGACCTCAAATCCTCCGCTCTCTAAAATGCAAATATAGGAATTCAGGGCTGCAGAATGCAGATTGCAGAAGCTGATATTTCATTTTAAACGGTGACTGACTTAAGAGGATCCTGCACCTGTTTTCAGTTCTTTCAAATATGCAGAGGAGGAAACACAAGGGAACCAGGCTATTCCATTTGTTACAGAGAGCAGGGAATGTCAGTAATTTATTTTCATGAACCCCCCCTTCCCTAATCTTTTAATCCTCTTTGGCTTTCAAGAGATGGGATTGTTTTCTCAGGAAGAGAAGGGGGGAAAAAAAACCCACCCCATTATCTCTCACTACGGATTTATTTATATTCTGAATTATTTCTAATTTGGGGAAGAGAAGGGAGAAGGGACACAAACATTATTTAAAGCTGCTTTTGTACATAATACATTGTTCTTCTTTGGAATTACTCACTTTCTGAGCTCGATTCTTGGAGTTTTATAATACCTTAACTATTCATCTTCAAACCCCATCCCTCCCAAAGCTCCATCGTGAGTAAGCACCTCTGTCTGCCTTCTATTTATCTTTGCAGGAAGCATGGAGGAGCTACAGTCTATCTCCAAAAGATAGTCAAGTTAAGCTTACAGGTAGATTAAGGATTTGGGATAGAGGTCCACCTGGTTTTTATTAAGAAACTGCGTTGCGGAGAGAGTTCTGGTTTCCAGAGAGTTTTGCATGGAAGCAATTTCGATTACAAGTTTTTCAGACGAATATAAGATCATATAAGGCATAGGGAAGAAGCTCAGAAACATAAAACACGATCAAATTGGTTAGAAACGGCCCTTATTATTAGCTTTTTAGCTAAGGAGCGAAGCGAGCCAAAAATCCTATTTCTTATCTTTGACCTATAACAAGAATTTAATTTAATAGACCAGTTGCACTGCTTCTGCTTGACGGTACTTAATTTCCCGTCTCTATGGAGTCTGTCAGGGCTGTCCTAACCCTCGCATCACAGAATTATACCACCGATAGGTAAATTCCTCTTCGTCCGAGGCAGAAACTACAAAACTGCCTTAACTTTGAAAGATGGTGCGACAGCTCGATTTGACAAGATTAGGAACATTCCGTCTGGGACTGAACTAATCCCTCACAGTCACGAGACCCACATCTCGATGACTCGGAGTAGAAGTCACATAGACCTACATGAAGAGGAACAAAGAAACACAAGAATTAAACCTCGTTTCTATTAGGTCATAAGCAGAGCTTGCAATTTGCACATTGCTGAATTTTTTTGTAGTAATTTTTCTCCATTTTTGCAAAAAAAAAGCATCAGAGAAGCATGTCCTTGAATCACTGCCTGCAAAGTGTCTAGTTTTAGCCTTGGCTGGGGGAAGCCTGACAGATGGCCATCCAGCTTTTGCTTAAATACCCTTCCATGAAGATGGACCGATTATTTCTTTGGTCCGTCCTGCTGTCTAACAGCTTGTGTCATCTGCGGCTTTTGTTTAAATGTTTCCAGGATGGAGAATTAATTGAGTCATAGGACTTGGAGTGAGAATTAGTTATACCACTGAAAGGAGATATAATGGAACCAATTAAGATTACTTAACGGGTAAACTGGGGATGTCTAGTTTAATGAAAAGAAGGACTAGGGGAGACATGATAGCAGTCTTCCAATATCTCAGGGGTTGCCATAAAGAAGAGGAAGTCAAGCTATTCTCCAAAGCACCTGAGGGCAGGACAAGAAGCAATGGGTGGAAACTCATCAAGGACAGAAGCAACCTAGAACTAAGGAGAAATTTCCTGACAGTGAGAACAATTAATCAGTGGAACAACTGGCCTCCAGAAGTTGTGAATGCTCCAACACTGGATGTTTTTAAGATGTTGGATAATTATTTGTCTGAAGTGGTGTAGGGTTTCCTGCCTAAGCAGGGGGTTGGACTAGAAGACCTCCAAGATCCCTTGCAACTCTGTTATTTGATTCTATTCTACTTTTGATGTTGGGGCAGGGAGAGAATAGAGGAAATGCAAGTTCTTCTGTCTTATACACTTCTGGAAGACCAGAGGCAGGATCTTCTGCAGATCTGGGATGGTTGGGTTCACCTAACATGCTCATTTTGCGTACCAAATGCAGCCATTTTCTGGATTGGCCTAATATTTGCCTAGTGAATCCATCACATCAGTTAAGCGTGTAAAGGCAGACGCAAACACACAGTTAATCAAGGTCCTTGGGTTGCGTGACTGCAACTGCTAGGTTTTTATCTTGACTAGGTTGAGAATGTTGTGCGAACTAACTAAGCCATCGGTTTCCTAACACCTTGAATCAAAGCCAGCCTAGTCACAGCAGATTAAGGGAAATTACAAGGATAATGACAAACCCTGGCTTATTGTATGATAGCAAAAAAAACAAAAAACAAAAAAACACCCAGGAGTTTACTAAATTTTTTTGACTAAGTTTATTAAAATTTCACTGAAGGATTCGCTTGCTTACCACTTTACACCTAGCGAGTCTTGCTTCTTACTTCTTCGTTGTTTCGGTCTACAAACTTGGGATTTTGTTCATCATTTCTATGAAGGTTTGTTAGGGATGTGTGATCATCGAACCATGTAAGAGCCTGGGGTGATGAATGAACCTCATGTGAGGTTAGGCTTGCTGGGTTGCATAATACAAAAACTGGGATTCCATCTTGGGCATAGATAAATAATAAGAAATAATACTTACAATATCAATAGAGGGGAGACGATGTAAAATGATCACAATAAGCTTTTTTACAAGCCAGATTGGATCTCCACCCACCCACATGCACGCACACACACTTGTATGTAGGCAGCGTGCAAGACAACAGTTCTCCTTCAACAATTGAAGGAGTAGAAAAAGAGGGCAGGCAATTATTTCTCAGTAACTAAGCCAAGTTTCGTTGCTTAATTAATGTGACTTTTGTCCATATCTTTTGATTAACTTCACACTGGCCTGGATAACAGTCTCCTTTGGGAAATCGTTCTGTTCCCATGTAGTCATCCTCTGGCAATATTGGCCTAGCTTGCCAACTGGAGCACATTTGCTAATAATAGGGCCAAGCTATTTGTGGGACTGTCTGCCTGTCTTCCCATCGTTTTGGCTCGCCCCTCCGGATCGAGCAAGGGAGGCCATGCTCCAGGTCTCTTCCATCAAGCGATGCCATCTTCTCGGAACCTGACATCCTGCCTCTGCTCTATCTGCCCTCTAGGAAGCAGGATGGCTCTGACCCTGTTAGCCTTTCATAAGGCTTTAAAGGCCATATAGCAGAATAGAAGAGCAGAGTTGGGAGGAACCTCGGAGGTCTTCTAGTCCAACCCCCGATCAAGCAAAAACCCTATATCATTTCAGACAAATGGCTGTCCAATCTTCTTGAAAACCTCCAGTGATAGAGCTTCCACAACTTCTGGAGGCAAACTGTTCCATTGGTTAATTATCCCAACCGTCAGGAAATTTCTCCTTAGTTCTAAGTTGCTTCTTGATGAGTTTCCATCCAATATTTCTTGTCCTACCCTCAGGTGCTTTGGAGAATAGCTTGACTCCCTCTTCTTTGGGGCAGCCCAATAGATATCAGATTACTGCTAACATGCCACCCCTGATCCTTTTTTGAATTAAACTAGACATGCCCAATCCCTGCAACCATTCTTCATGTAGTTTAGCCTCCTAATTGTCTTTGTTGCTCTTCTCCACACTTTTTCTAGAGTTGCAACAACTTTTTTTTGCTTTAATTTATATGCCGCCCTTCTCCGGAGACTCAGGGCAGCTTACAATGAGTTAAGCAATAGCCTTCATACTTTTGTATATTTATACAAAGTCAGCTTATTGCCCCCACAATCTGGGTCCTCATTTCACCTACCTTTGAAAGGATGGAAGGCTGAGTCAACCTTGAGCCTGGTGAGATTTGAACTTGCAGTAATTGCAAGCAGCAGATGTTAATAACAGGGCTTTAGTCCACTGTACTACAGGCTCTTTTAAAAATCATGGTGGACCAAACGTGATGCAATATTCCAAGCGTGGTTTTACTGTTCAGATTTGACTGTTCCTCCCAGCTTTGAGGCTATGCGTTTAGGTAAAGTTCGCTGGTTAATATGCTGAGGTTATTCTTCAGTTGAATCCTGTTGATAGTCTTGGATTTTAGGTTCTATGAAGCTCATCTTGGGTTCTAACCCTGTAAGTGCTGGGGATTGTCCTTCAACAATATCTGGAGAGCCAACAATTTCCTTACAAGGATATGGGGTTATTTATTTATTTATTTTATTTATTAGTTCAATTTATATGCCGCCTTTCTCCGGAGACTCAGGGCGGCCTTGCTATAAAAACATTGATTATTGTAGGAGAAGAGAAGACAGAAGTGAGAGGGTGGAATTAAGTGAGTCATCAGTTTAGAATTCTTACATTGCCACAAACGATCCAAGTTTGTTTGGACACATAGGCAGGCCTATTCATTGGTTGAAATCAATTTCTTTCTCCTCGTGACTTTTTGCAGGATGGAACGTGATGCCGAGTTTGCCCAGAAGAAGGCTGAGCGTGCTACTCTGAGGACTCACTTCCGTGACAAATACAAACTGCCCAAGGTATGGAGTGAGGCCTTCAGGGACCTCCGTCTGGTTTCTTTAGGGAGCTTTTCCGCATCAGGGCTCTCCAATCTTGGGAATTTTAAGTTTTATGGACTTCAACTCCCAGAACTGGGAGGAATTCTGGGAATTGAAGTCCACAAGCCTTAAAGTTCCCAAGGTTGGATGAGACCTCTGCCCTAACACAACTGAATTATAGTGAAACTTTGTACTCAAAGGGAAGAAATTACCCTGTTTCGAACTGCTAGGTTGGCAGAAGCTGAGACAAGTCTTGGTAGTACAGGGGTTTAAGGCACCCTGTTATTAAGCTGGTTATTAAGACCAGCTGCCTGCAATTACTGCAGGGTTCGAATCTCGCCAAGGCTCAAGGTTGACTCAGCCTTCCATCCTTTCTAAGGTAGGTGAAATGAGGACCCAGTTTGTGGGGGCAATAAGCTGACTTTGTATAAATATACAAAAAGGATGAAGGCTATTGCTTAGCGCATTGTAAGCCGCCCTGAGTCTTCGGAGAAGGGCGGCATATAAATCAAATTAAAAAAAAAAAAAGTCACGGGAGCTCACCCCGTTATGCCGCAGCACTAGGGATTCGAACCGCTGAACTGCCGACCTTTCGATCGACAAGCTCAGCATCTTAGCCACTGAGCCACCACATCCCTTTATACTTTATAATTTACACTACAGTGCACCAAAAATGTCCCTCTGAGGTACTTGTGGAAATATTGGAAATAAGTAAACAGAAATAAACACAACTTCCCAGTTCCCCAAAGCGAGTCAATGTGGGCGTCCTCTACCGTCAGTTGAAGACAGAAAGGGGGCAAGATCCTTACGAATCTCTACGCCTTACGAAGACGTCAACCAGGGTAGCTGCCACTTGCAAGAGGAATAGCTTAGTTTTTTTTTTAAACAAAGACAGCAGCAGAAGTCTCTGCAAGGGGAGAGTTAAAACCAAAATCGTGCCCCCCCCAACATCCATCAACGCTCTTGTCCCTTTGAAAAATGAGGGCCTTGGACATGGTCCGAAGGCCCTCAAGAGGTAGAGATTTATTGCGTAGAGATAGCAACCATTTAGTTGCCCCTGAACCAATAGCATCTTTTCAATAGGTAGGGTGCTGCTTGGGATGAAAAGAAGGAGTAGGGGAGATATGATAGCAGTCTTCCAATATCTCAGGGGCTGCCCCAAAGAAGAGGGAGTCAAGCTATTCTCCAAAGCACCTGAGGGCAGGAGAAGAAGCAATGGGTGGAAACTCATCAAGGAGAGAAGCAACTTAGAACTAAGGAGAAGTTTCTTGACAGTGAGAACAATTCATCAGTGGAACAACTTGCCTCCAGAAGTTGTGAATGCTCCAACACTGGAAGTTTTTAAGAAGATGTTGGATAACCATTTGTCTGAAGTGGTGTGGGGTTTCCTGCCTGGGCAGGGGGTTGGACTAGAAGACCTCCAAGGTCCCTTCCAACTCTGTTATTCTATTCTATTCTATTCTATTCTATTCTATTCTATTCTATTCTATTCTATTCTATTCTATTCTATTCTATTCTATTCTATTCTATTCTATTCTATTCTATTCCTCTGCTCTGCTCTGCTTGCTCTGCTCTGCTCTACTCTACTCTACTCTACTTTTCTCTACTCTACTCTACTCTACTCTACTCTACTCTACTCTACTCTACTCCACTCCACTCCACTCCACTCCACTCCACTCCACTCCACTCCACTCCACTCCACTCCACTCCATTCCATTCCATTCCATTCCATTCCATTCCATTCCATTCCATTCTATTCTATTCTATTCTATTCTATTCTATTCTATTCTATTCTATTCCCTCTGGGGAAAATGATGTAGAGGACACTCTAGGGAAGTGTTTCTCAAACTTGGCTACTGGAAGACTGGCGGACCTTACCTCCCATAAGACTCCAGTCATTTAAGGTCATAGAATTGCCAAGTTTGAGAAACAATGTCTTGGGAATGTCAATGGAGATTCTCAGTCATCCAGGTCATAGCTGACTCAAAATTGCTTTTTTAAAAATTTAAAATAAAAGGCAACTGGACTGTTTTTTGAGGAGGAAGAAATAGACATAGTCCAACCCCCCCAGCCAAGCAGGAGACCCTACACCATTTCTGACAGATGGCAGTCCAGTCTCTTCTTGAAAGCCTCCAGTGATGAAGCTCCCACAACTTCCGAAGGCAACTTCTGTTCCATCGGTTGATCGTTCTCACTGTCAGAAAATTCTTAGAAAATTCTTTCAAAATTCTTAGAAAATTCTCACTGTCAAAGAATTCAATAAATTCTTTATTTCCTAGGTTGAATCTCTCCTTGTTCAGTTTCCATCCATTATTCCTTGACTGGCCTTCAGGTGCTTTGGAGAAGATGCTTTGCTTCTTATCCAAGAAGCTTCATCAGTTGAGATTGGCTGACCATCCAGTCACAAACGAAGCTTCTTAGCTAAGGAGCAAAATGCATCCTAGGGAATCCTTCTGGCTGAACTGAACTGGTGATTTATTCCAGTTGAAACCAGTTGCATTTTTGGGGCTACCCAATGGGTTAGAAGATGAAGTTGAGCATAGTTGGGCCATCCAAAGTTTAGTCATGAACTGCCACCTATTCAATTGCCTCCACTGGAATCCTTTCCATTTGAATCTGAAATCCAATATTCTACCTATTGACTGATTTTTATTTTTAAAAACAGACATAATTAGGACAATCCAATTACGTTTATAATTGCGTTCCTAACTAGCCTTGTTCGAATCAATGGAGCTTATAATAAATGTTTATGTTTCCACTCTATTTGTTTCACTAACTGTGTTTATTGGGGTTTGCCCTCAGGCTGAAATCTGACAAAATGGCCTATTTTTATACCTGGCATTTAGTCATCCGTCTGCCAACCCTACATCTGACATTTACGAGCGTCTCTCACATCAGGGAGAAGATTTTGTGTGTGTGTTTTTATATGTCGATGGGGTCCTTTTTCTAAGGTGGCAGCAGGCCCAATCGGATCGTGGAACTGACCCACATCCGAATTCGCACAGGGCATCAAGCCAGAGAGATGATTAACCTTAACCAAGTTGACTGGTTGTATGAATGCTGCCATTAAAACTCTAGCTGACTTGGGGTTTTTTTTTTTTTTTTTTTTTTGTGCTTTAATTTATATGCCACCCTTCTCTGGAGACCCAGGGCGGCTTACAATGCATGACTCATGGAACGACTGTGTTGCTTTAATGGGAGACGTTTTGGTCTCAATTACTGTCGTAAGTCGAGACCTGCCTCTTGCTGAGACTTATCACCATCAATGGGATTTGTGTTGTGGCCCCTCCAGCAGCTGAATCAGAGGAGGAGGAGGAGGAGGTGTGGGAGTCAGGATCAGCATCAGGGCAACCTGAGAGCTCCGAGGGGGAAGAGGGAATGGAGCTGTCATAGAGAGAGAGAGAGACAGAGGTGGAGTCTGGGCCATCCGTCAACCCTCAGATGGAGAGTCAACAGCCCCCAGATCTGGGGGTGGTTGATGAGGAAGAGGAGGAACAGCTGGGTCCAGTGCCTGAGGCGCAGATGTGCAGAAGGCAAAGGAGAGGAGAGCAGGAGAAATCTATGGGCTGGTCCTTGAGACAGAAGAGTCACCGCTGCTAGTGAAGGCCAACTTATGTGGATAAAAGGCAGGGAGCGGAGATGAATAGATGTAACAGACAACTATTCATCTCCCTGCCGGACAGACTTGTTTGTCAGGTTACGATGTCGTCTCAAATAAATTGCATTTCCAAGCAAATAGTCTTTGATGAAATCTTTCATTTATTGAGCACAACAATCTGTCCCCGAGTCCATCGTAGCCAACACTGACTTCCTGACCCCAAACCTTCCCTTTCCATTCCCCAATTCTCTGCGTCTCATTGGCCATCTTCCAAATCACTCTCCCCATATCTACTACTTCAGCTCCCAGGAATGTCCCCCCTCCCATCCCATCTCCTAGGGGATATTATCTTCAGGGAAAATAAGTAGGTGAAAAGTCAAGCGTCCTCTTGCCAGCTGCCCCCTCTTCTCCTCCTTATGTCAGCACTGGAACGAATGTAGTTTGGAGTGCTGACATTGTTAGCCTGCGAGATAAACTTTTTGCTGGGGCTGCCGGCATACCTAATAAAGGAATCTTTTGTGTTTACGTCAGAGGGTTTGTCGTGTTTGGGGAGCTGGGTCAGAACAATTTGTTTCACCTGAGTTAGAAGGAAACAATTAACCCTCTTTTCTCTAGAACGAAACCGATGACAACCAGATCCAACTAGCTGGGGGTGACGTGGAGCTGCCTAAGGAGCTGGCCAAGATGATAGAGCAAGACAACGAGGAAGAAGAGGAAAAGGACTCTGTTATCGGACAGCTGACCAACATCCAGAACCTAGACCTAGATTCCTTGAAGGACAAAGCCCAAGCCACCATAGATGACCTGAAGCAGTCCGCTGAGAAATGCGCCGTCATGTGACTCCATGCTGCCTCTTGATCCCAGTTGGTCAACTTGGGACCCGTGTGAGTGGGGTGGGGTGATCTGTAAGGGGGCAAGGCTGATCTTAGTCGATGAGAAAGACCCAACAGACGCCCAACGAGTTTGTCTTCCTTGTGTGCGCGTGTGCGTGAGCTGAGTATTTTCTTTGCAGCCCAAATCCCCTCCCTTGTAACGTATATCCTTCCTCCTTCCATCCCTCTTCAGTGGACATGAGGTGTGCGTACCTGTCTCAGGTTAGAACCATCCGTTGTTTGACCCTCCCCACCCCTTCCCTTACCACGGTCCACCTTGAAGTGCTACCTCTCTCCGACCTTCTCCCTTTCCTCATACATCTTAGACAGTCTATCTTCCATCAACCTTTTGATGGAGAAGGATAAGAGCCATTTACTATCCCGGGAGTCGTCCTGGCTGTGTACTGAAATGAATATGCACCATACACCATACACTCTTACACACACACCAGGGGTGAGTTCTACTTACCTTTACTACCGGTTCACAATGGGAGTGCAGATTGTCAATTATGACGTCCTAGCGGGTGGACGGAGCCTCCTACCGCTTTTACTACCGGTTCGTAAGAACCAGACAGAACCGGGAGCAACCCACCACTGACACACATCCCTTCTATACAGAAACCCAATTTGAAGAGGGAACTTCTTGTAGAAAGAGGCTGAAGCAGCAAAGGAACCCTTGCCAAGAGAAGTTCCAAGTCTTGTAAATTAGGTGGCTTGGCCACTTGTACGTCTTCCAGTTCAAGGCTTGGGGGCAAGAGAAAATCCCACCCACTTCCTCTGCCGTAGCTCCCTACTATGAATCAGAACTTCCAGAATTTCAGAAAGCCCAATTCTATCGTCCCCCCTATTTTCCAGGTGGAGAAAACACAGCTTGGGCCTCTCATTCTACCCCTGAAGCCATACAAGGATGAAGGTCTCTTTGGTTGGTGCTTAATCAACCATAATCCCGTAGGCGTTTTTGTGCTCTGTTTCAATGTCTAACAATACATCCTCCTGGGACCTTCTCACTGTCATGTTTTCAACAACTAGCGGGAAGGGTATAATTACCTGTGTAACAAACGTGGCAATCTTTATGTTGTAACGTGACTATGCAGTATTCTTTGACCCTCGACCTTCGATGCTTCCCTTCTTTTTTTTTTTTCCATGGTACTGTTTGATTTGGTGGAATAAAGACCAAGCTTCTATGCATTCCCTTGTCCTGTCGTTCCCTTGCAGCAAAGATGTTGTAGATCTGGAGTCTAAGACAAATACCACCATCAGCGCAAGACTAACGAAGAGTTACACAGACAAAGACACATGCCGAGTGGCTTAGCGATCTTGGAGATCGCAAAATCGAGCACAGACCCTACATCACAAGCGTGCAATTTCTAATTTCTACTCCATATTCTATTCTATTCTATTCTATTCTATTCTATTCTATTTCTATTCTATTCTATTCTATTCTATTCTATTCTATTCTATTCTATTTTCTTCTCTACTCTACTCTACTCTATTCCATATTCTGTTCTGTTCTGTTATACTCTACTCTACTCTACTGTATAGTCTATTCTATTCTATTCTATTCTATTCTATTCTATTCTATTCTATTCTATTCTATATTCTATTCTATTGTATTTTTCTACTCTACTCTAGAGTAGAGTACTCTACTCTACTCTACTCTACTCTACTCTACTCTACTCTACTCTACTCCATATTCTATTCTATTCTATTCTATTCTATTCTATTCTATTCTATTCTATTCTATTCTATATTCTATTGTATTTTTCTACTCTACTCTACTCTATTCCATATTCTGTTCTGTTCTGTTATACTCTACTCTACTCTATAGTCTATTCTATTCTATTCTATTCTATTCTATTCTATTCTATTCTATTCTATTCTATTCTATATTCTATTGTATTTTTCTACTCTACTCTAGAGTAGAGTACTCTACTCTACTCTACTCTACTCTACTCTACTCTACTCTACTCTACTCTACTCTACTCTACTCCATATTCTATTCTATTCTATTCTATTCTATTCTATTCTATCTATTCTATTCTATTCTATTCTATTCTATTCTATTCTATTCTATTCCATTCCATTCCATTCCATTCCATGTTGACTTCGACTCTACATTGTGAGCTTCACAAACTTTCTCAAGCTACGCAGGGTCCAAAAACTTGGCTTCTCGCTCTTCCTCAGTGCTAATGAGTTGGTTGCCAACAGACGCTCATTTCACAGTCCTCTGAGAATGCCTTCCTGGCTTAGTGCACTAAACATAGAAAGAAAAATCCAGATGATGTCCTGAAAGTGACGATTAAGTCAACGGAAGGTTTCTAAAACAGCTGCAAGCCTTCCCAAGCAAGAGATGATTAACAATCCAGAGGGGAAAAGATGAAAGCAGAGTAGAGGGGAAAAAAAACAAACAAATGAGGGGATGTGAAATCAGGCCTATATATCATCTTATTATAGAGAGCCAGCTTGTTTGGAGTGTTTAAGGCACCAAGCTAGACGCCAGGAGTGTGAGTTCTAGTCCCGCTTTAAGGCACCGACCCAGCTGAATGACCTTGAGCCAGTCACTCTCTCTCAGCCCTAGGAAGGAGTCAAGGGCAAACCTAAAAAAAAAAAAAAACAACCCCACAGAATCAAACACAATGGAACAGCAGGAGAAAAAAAAAATCATCTTACAGTCTTAGATGCACATTAGAGTTGGCTCAGTGGCTAAGACGCTGAACTTGTCGATCAGAAAGGGGTCGGCAGTTTGGCAGTTCGAATCCCTATTTTAGGTCTCCTGCATGAGCAGGGGGTTGGACTAAATAACCTCCAAGGTCCCTTCCAACTCTGTTACTGCATCTGTGTCAGATTCCCCATCTATCCAGGGACCTCTGTGTTTTGAAAAGGATGAAAATAGTCTAAACATTAGCAGCTGGCTTTGATATTTCCAACGATGGGGGGGGGGAATCTGTTTTTTTTCCACTGCTTTTCCTAGCAAGGACTGGAAAAATCCTTGACCTAACCCACAGCAGACTCCATTTGCAAGGAGATAAATCTTGCAATACGTTATTTAAGATTAATCTGGACCAAATAATTTTTTGGGTTGTTTTTTTTTAAAGCAACCTTATGTCTATTTTTATCCCCCTACAACCCTTTCTTTCCTGGATTTACCATCATCTTGCTCGACGGAATATTTTTGGAAACGCCAAGATTGCAGAGATGTTAAGCCTAGATTTGACCTAATAAAAGTAGTACCTCAAGACAGATCTGGGGGATTTATTTATTTATTTATTTTGAGGGGGGGGGAAATGTATTTTTTATTTTTTTGTGTGCCTTTGTCATGATCAGCGCAGCTGCTTTTCGTACAAGCCGTGCAGAGGACCTGAGGGAATCTTGCGAATTGTCTGCTCTAAAAATAAAGGCGATACCACTTCCTGATATGAATCACTCCCAGAGCGAGCGACGGAACAAACTTGATCTTTCTTTCTTTCTTTTTTTTTCTTCCTTCTCCCCGCACCGGGCCCAGATAACAAACTCTGAGCCTCTTTTTAAAACATCATTGCTTCCTCCCACGAAATTGCTTTTCTACCTCATCCTCAGCCTCATGAAAACAATTGCAGCTCAAATGCAAATCTTACAGCAAACGATCCAGGATGGGCAACTGGCTACGATATATGAAAGGGACAATTCATTATTTTATTTTATTTTATATTTTGGAAGACATGGACATTAGTCTCCTTTTGAACTCTTAACTGGGCTTCTTCCTTTTGCAGAAGTATTCTGTCCAATAGCTTTGTCAGTGCTGGCAAAAACAAGCTGGCAAGAGTTTTTAAATGAATTGTTTTGGGTTGTTGTTTTTTTCCCCCAACCGAGGGAGAATTAGGAAAAAGAAAAAAGGCAGCTAAAAATACTCCAGGCAGCTTCTTCTGACATACATTTTCTATCGGTCTGGTTTTTTTTTTTTTTAAAAAAAGATCATTCTCAAGCAGAGCGAAGGAGCAGCATTTCATCACGAGAAGGTTTGATGGGTGGTAAGAGGGCTGTTCCAAGGGAAAAGCTTCGAATGGCGAATCGGAAGGAATTCAAAGAAGCAACAGACAGTTCCCAAAGCCAGATCAGGCCCAGGAAAAAGTGACCTGATTTGATGATACCTGGTGGCTAAATTTGGGTGACACAAATATAACCCAATCATCTTCGGCCCCGTTTATTTTATTTTTTTAAAAAATCATATGTTGCTTAATCGTACCATCTACCCGTTCATCTCTATCTCAGAAACACGAAGAGATTATTAACTTCTACCATGTTTCCCCGAAAATAAGACCCTGTCTTATATTTTTTTTGAACCCCAAAATAAGTGCTTGGCCTTATTTTTGGGGAGTTCTTATTATTTTGGGGCGCGTAGAGGAAGATGCAGCTCCTCTTGCCGTCTTACCTGATTTCCAGCTCTGCATTTAAATATTTTCAGGGAGGGCTTATTTTCGGGGGGGGGGAAGGCTTATTTTAGCGCATGGACACAAAAGCCTGATTGGGCTTATTATCAGGGGAGGTTTTATTTTTGGGGAAGAATTGTGTAAGTAGTTCACACAACTTGGTTAACAGGATGCAACCTAGAACTAAGGAGAAAATTCCTGACAGTGAGAACAATGAATCAGTGGAACTACTTGCCTCCAGAAGTTGTGGATGCTCCAACACTGGAAGTTTTTAAGAAGAGGTTGGACAACCATTTGTCTGAAGTGGTGTAGGGTTTCCTGTCTAAGCAGGGGTTGGACTAGAAGACCTCCAAGGTCCCTTCCGACTCTGTTATTCTATTCTATTCTATTCTATTCTATTCTATTCTATTCTATTCTATTCTATTCTATTCTATTCTACTCTACTCTACTCTACTCTACTCTATTATTCTATTCTATTCTATTCTATTCTATTCTATTCTATTCTATTCTATTCTATTCCATTCCATTCCATTCCATTCCATTTCATTTCATTCCATTCCACTCCACTCCACTCCACTCCACTCTACTCTACTCTACTCTACTCTTCTGACGTAGTAAGTTTGAATGGTCACTAAACAAACTGTTGTAAGTATTATATGTTGTAAGCATTACAAGATTAGATATATGTTGTATTATAAATAATATACATTATATTTTTCCTACATCAGCCAGAATTTGTCCAGACTTTATATGATGTCATTACTTAAATAATCATGTTGGTTTTAGTGCCATAAGATTTATAGCGTTTTTAATTCGATAGCCAGCGAGAATCACGGTTGATTGGGCATGGGGTGGCCATATAAATTTCAACCAAAGAAATAGTTAAAATGTTTTCAGCGCCGACTGAGGATGGCCAACTTCTCCCTCTAAAACGATGGGGGATATTTTAATTGGGCAATCAACGAATTGTGAACTTCTAAAACAGTCCTTCCCAAAGTCCCGATTGTACGAAAGAACCCCCAAACACAAACCCTTTAATAACAAAATCTACACAAAGACCGGAAGGACAGGAAAGCATTTTAATGAGCTCTAATAAAGTTTTGACTTTTTTTTTTTTTTAAACTGTCACTCTTTCCCCCACTTCTTCATTTCCTGTATTTGGCGTCCAGCAGCTCCTTTAAAGACCAGATGCTTTTTATTCACAAAACAGTACTCCTAATAGCTTGGACAAAACCGGTGCGATTCATTAGTGGCCATTCTTGGGGAAAAAAAGTGGGTTGAACCAGCTGTTTGGCACGGGAGACGAGGAGGGTGGCCGAATACAGCAGTTGCCAAAAATGGACTTGGAAATCGAATTATGAAAGGACTCAAACTGCAGCTAGAATGGTATTTGCACAAAGTTGGAAGAATGAAAAGAGATCCCTACAGAGGAGAATGTGATTAGGGAAATACTAGTTATGTGCAGAAATGGATAGGTCAACACTGGCAATTAAAGAGAAAGAACAAACCGGATATTATACCATGAGGGAGTTATTTTACCGATGGTTGTAGAGAATAAATATAAAAATTAGAAATAAAAATAGATGAGTGAAATATAGAAAATGCATTAATAGAGTTAATAGAGTCAAATAAATTAAGAAGAGGATTGTCATAGTATTAGATATTGAACGTATTGGTATTAAGCTAAGAATAGATTAAATAATGAACATGGCTGTAAACTTTTAACTGTGATTGCACAAAATATTTGTACCCAGATGACACACTCTTTAATGGAAGATGGAT